AGATGGAGTAATTGCTCTCTCCTCGTCCAGAGCAGAGAAGAGGGAAGAGAATCAAAGCCATGGAAACAGTCCAAGGGCTAGTGGACCACACGACCCTCAGCCTAGGTGACCCTGAGACCAGAAGTAGATGGTGCCCAGCTACTAATGCCAACCACTGGGAAAAGGATCAGAATTGGAGAGCCTGGATAGACGAGGAGAAAAAATGTGGAACAAAATCCAGAACAGAAACATAAAGACTAGAATTACTGGTCAGATGGACCCTGGTAGAACCCCCGAGACTATGGTCCTGGGTTATCTTTCAGGCTTAGAATTAGACTCAGTCCCATGAGTTAGTGCTCAGCCAGACTACCCAGACAAGCCTATGAGCTGAACAACTACATGAGAGACATGGGCTCAGAACAGTCAGCCCCCACGGCAGCAGATCGAAAGGGCCACATTTGCGTGAAGGAAAGCTCTCAAACCCACACTCACTGCCATTGAGTCCATTTCGACTCATAAGCAGCCCTTCCTGGGTTTTCAAGGCAGTAAATCTTTATGGAAGTGCATCACCCTATCTTCCTTCCACAGGGCAGCTGGTGGGTTTGTACTAGCAACCTTCTGGTAAGCAGGCCAATGCCTTAGGCCCTGCTAGGCAGGCAGGAATGCACAGGTAAGAAGAGCGCAGAGAGGAGATGGGAGGGGAGCCGTTCTATTGTTGGGGTTGTAACAGGTGCTGTTAAACAAAATGTGTATGAGCCATTGAGTGTAAGATGAATCTGCTTTGTAAAGTTGTACCCAAATCACAATCAAAAAAACAAAAACACACCAGTTGCCGTTGAGTTAGCTTGGACTCCCGGCGACCCCTTGTGTGTCAGTACAGCCGGGCTGCAGAGGGTAGTGTTCAGTGACTGATGTTTGGAAGTAAGATTACCAGGGCTTGCTTTTAGAGTGTTGTGAGGGTTTGTATATTGGTACAAAAACAAGTCTCATGATTGGCCCACGGGGAAGGAAATGGAAATCTCTCACTATCGTACCAGTCCAATTCAAAGAATGATTTAGGTGACAATGGCAAATGGATTTGTTCTTTGTTTCCCTGGACTCAAATCTTCTTTTGTATTTCTTATGCGAAAGAGCCATGTGCTTAAATTTTACTAAGAACTTCCAGGTTTGTAATCAATTTTTTTCTTTAAATACTTTATTGTGTTTTTGGTGAAAGTTTACACAGCAAATGAGGTTTCCATTTAACAATTTCTATCCGTGACCCTTGGGTGACACTGGTTACGCTTTCCACGTGTGTCAGCATTCTCGTTGTTTCTGCCCTGATTGTTCTGTTTTTGTGAATCTAGCTGCTGTGCTCCCCCTCCTCCCATTTCTGCTTTTGGGGTAAATATTGACTGTCTGGTCTCATGTAGATGATTTTTTTTTTTTTTTTTT